TCATGTCATATATGCAATGTATTACGACTCCAAATCACCTGAAGATTATGTATCTGAGTGGCACCGGAAGGAAAAATATGTAGCAAGTTACAAACATATCTTGCAACTCGTGAGGGAAAAATTATGGCTGAAGGATCTTCCTCCAATTATCCCTCCTGTAGTAAAGGACCAACCTGGAAGGCCCAAGAAAAATAGAATAAAAGATAAACACGAGCCCACAAAATTGGCATTCGATAAATATTTAAGATCAGGGCCTAAAATGGCATGTGGTCATTGTAAAACAATGGGTCATAACAAACAAAGTTGTCCACAAAAAACAACCAATGACGCTTCAAGTCATACTTGATTCACTTGTTTAATTGCATTTTCTTTAAATGTTTGCGATTGGAACTTGTGGAAATGATGTTGATGAAATATGTGAACATACCTACCTTTTATATTTATTTGCAGCCTGGACTTTTGAGCGAAAGAGTTTTGATAGCCTCTACTAGTACCCCAAAGAAGATTGGAGTTCATACTTCCCTGTTCTAGGATACATGGCAGGGTCCTAGATTGAATTGGAAAGAAAAGAAAGTTGTCAGTACTAGGCAACTTAACTATTTTGATGCCTCTCGAAAGCATTCTGGAATTCGAATGACACAATGAATGCCTGGTGGAACTGACTTTGCTTTTTGTTCGTAACGATCAAGTTAACTTTTGTAATTACTGGTCTTTTATTTTCTATGAAACAAGTTGGTTGGTTGATGGAACTTATATGATAGTCCAAACAATGCTTGTTATAACTGACTTTGATATGTTTGTATGAACTATTACCATATATATATATATTGGCAAGCTCAAGTTTTTTTGTAACTGCAACTGTAACATTTGTCCTTTAACTTTGAGATTAACTTCAAATACATTACACCTTAATGTAAACATCAAAAGTAATACACTACAAATGCAATAATCTAAAGTTTTAAGTAACTGCAATTGAAATATTTTTGCTTTAACTTCGAGATTAACTGCAAATACAATAAATCTTAATTTAAACATAAAAAGTAAAATACTACAAATGCAATAAGTCATAATCCTTAATCCATTCCAAAACTAAATTAGGGGTCGGTTAACAAACCAAATATCACTTATCAGAAGGCAATGAACCTAAATGCTTAAACATTTAACCCATAAGCACCAATACAAATCCTACACAAATTATCCAAGAAAATATTATCCCATTAATATACAAATTTCTCCTCCTCCTAAATTTCTGAGCATGATCAACTTCAAAATTTAATTGCTTTTGGACTGAATTCAACTGAAACTTCAACTGTCGAACATCTAAACGACCATTATATTGCATCATTTTTTCAACTCCTCGTTTTCTTTTCGTAGCTCGTAAATTAGGGACTTCACTCTTTCAGACATTTCTTTATCATACCATTTGAAGAAATTGCAATCTTAATTCTTGAAATTAGGGCAGCTAAAAAAATTTCTACGTGTATTTTTCCTCTTTCAAGTTGTCCACATAATGCATTTCAAACCACAATAAAAATACACAATATTTCCTTTATTTTCCGAAAAAAGACGACTGAATAGTGCTTCGATTGCTTTGAGTAGAGGAGCTCGCCGAATTTGTCATATTTTTCATAATAGTACTGAAATTTTTTAGATTATTTCATTCGAGGAAATGTTTCATTAAAGATCTCATCATTCGGGTACAAATATTATATGTAATATTTAAGAAAGGAAAAACAAATCTTGATAGATGAGAGGAGATTAATTTAGAGATGAAGGGAGTGTTTTTCTATTCAAAACTTAAAAGATAAGATGAGTAGAGGAAAAACTTACACCAATCTATCTTCAAAATAGACCAACACAACCAAGGATGATGTTGCTCTTCAAAAACACGATGGGGCGAGTGAATTTTAAAGAGGAAAGTAAAGATATTTAGGGTTTTTAATTCAATTAACGTTTACAATTTCTTTTATTGTCAACTTTCCACATCAGCATATTTTAATTCACTTAGCGTGCAGTCAACAACAAAAGGAGGCAGCTGGCAAGAATGATGTGCCACATCAGCACAACGTAACGGGGACCGTAGTCAATGACGGTTTCCGTTGGACAAAGGGTCTGATTGGTTTCTTTTATCGAGTTTGAGGGCCAAAATCTCTCAAACAAAAATAACAGGGGCTGCATTGATTTTTTTTGAAACTTCAAGGGCCTTTGATGATTTAAACCCTTTTATTTTTAAGATAAATATTTAAAGTTGGTAGCGAAAAAAATATTAACTATTTTTTTATTTGAGATTTTTAATCATTAATTTAAAAGTGATATATAGGTGGGTGGCGGGTCAATTCAAGATTATGTGTACTTGAAAAAACAATTATTTAAGGCTTTGTTTGTAACTGAGTTGCTATGCCTATGCTGCTGAGTGTACTTATTTTGTACGTCCGGCAGTTCATATAGAAACATATTGTTCAAATATTGCCATGTAGAACATATGATTGTAGACCATTGGAGATATATATAATGCGCACACACAGACATTCTATCACGGACGGACGAGTTTTATATTAGAAGTCATAAATTTAAATTTATAAAATTTTAGGATATTAAACTTAAATTTATCAATTTAGGAGGTGAAAATAAATTTTTAATAAAAATACATAGATAAAATTTAAAATATCATAATTTTAAATTATTATGAGGGACGAGAGTCCCGCCTAAGTCCATCGCTACACGTTATGGCCATGGGTGTAACATATAGCACACGAAAATTGAGAACATACCATACTATACGTATCGTGCAAAACAAACAAGAGAATTATGAATATGGAAATCCATCAACCTCATCACTAATTCCTGCCCCAACTTCGGATCATGCTTCCCGGAAAAAAGTACTCATTCATTCTCCGTTCATACCTATCCTTATTATAAATTATTTTAATGGTTGATTTGGTCTTTAAAATATATTATTTTTTATTAATAAATTAGACATATATTTTGTGTTGATATGATTATTGTTCATATGGTGAAAATATTATTTTATGGACGACATTCGGTTTTTTTTTCTAGACGAAAAACTATTAGTGTGTTCATGAAATGTACATGTGAAAGATAAGAAAAATTCAAGAAGAATGACAAGAAAGAGAATATTTTTATCCTAAAATATTACTCCATATTATATATTTTGAATGTTCGATAAAAGATCATTTACAATGTAATTTAAATGATAAATTATTCTTCTTATAAAATATGGATGGCTATGATTAATTCTCCAAATAAATCAATACAAAACAATAATGAGACTATGTTTCTGAAATGTTTGGTTGGCAGGAAATTAAATTAGAATCTAATTTCATATTCTGTTTGGTTCGCATACATGTCAGATGAATTTGATTTCAGTAATGTAAAATGACAGGATTGTCTTTCTTGTTTTTTTGCTTAATTTTAATTTGTTTTATAATTACATGTAGCAATATATTATAAAAAAATTAATTTTTTTTATTTTATGATTAATTATTCATTTCAATAAATTATAAAAATTATGCTAATAAACATCATAAGTTAAAATCATCCCAATTAGTGATAGTCATGGGTCAGGTTGGGTCGGGTTTTTGGTCCACCCGACCCGACCCGAGCACAAGGACCTCCATCTGTGACCCGACCCGACCCGACCCAAAATAATAAAAAATATTTTTATTCAATAAAAAATTATTTTTATTCAATAAAAATAGTGACTTAATTGGAAATATATATATATATAGGGGTATTATTGTAATTATTCATAAATATATAAGGCAAAATTATATATTTTTGGGTCGGATATTTTTCATCCTAAACCGAACCCGACCCGACTCGATATCACACTTAAAAAAATTGACCCGACCCGACAAAATAAAGTTCACCCGACCCGAAATAATAAAAAAAAATTATTTTTATTCAATAAAAACAGTGATTTAATGAAAAAAATTATATAGAGGGGTATTATTATAATTATTCCTAAATATATAAGGTAAAATTATATATATTTTCGGGTCGGATATTTTTCACCCTAAACCCGAACTCGACCCGACCCGAATATCACACTTAAAAAAATCGACCCGACCCGAATATATGAATTAGAAACCCGACCCGAACCGAAATAATAAAAAACTATTTTTATTCAATATATAAATAAGTTACCAAAAGATTTATGAGGGTAGCATGCTCTAATTTCAATTTCCCTCCAACAAGGGAATTAAATTCTATCCATTCTTGGATGGAATTCACTTTCCCTCATTTGATGGAAATTTAAAGTCATGAGGGATTCTAATTCCCTTGAAAAACTTGAACCAAACATGAGAAAATGGTGGAATTGGATTCTAATTCCTCCTAATTCCAAGGGATTCATGCCAACCAAACGCCACCTTAGTCTCACCTAAAATAATTTTATGATTTTAATATAAAATAAATGTCTAGGTTATACACATATTTTCAAATGCCTAAATTATCAACAAATTCGATATAAAGTAAAAAAAAAAACCTAAAATTGATAAAAACCTACAAATCCAAAATTTCGTTCGACCAAACTTTTTAGCATGTTGCTTATGTTTCCTTCCCACAAACAATGCTGCTGATTCACACGAACCAATGTATTTCATTGGTTAAAGGAATCGTTGTTGTTCTTATAGATTATGAGTTTGAACACCATTGACTGCAATATGATGATAAAGCGTTCATTGTAAAATAATTAAGATAATTTAAAACAGATACTACTTTATAATCAACTTAGCATAATTAAACAAAAAATTTTGATGATTGGGTTGGAATCACGTATTAAAATTCAAAAATTAAAAAAAATACTTTTAAAAGAAAAAATAAATAAAAAACGTTGTTGTTTGCCACACGCAGAGCTCATCACGTCACCGGAGACAAAAGAAGGTGGGCGGCAACCAATTCTTGTGATACCCAGCAACATAAAACTACTACCACCCAATCTAGTGGTTATAAATTCCCGACTGGTATTGCTCGCCATTTATGCAAAATTCGAAAGAGAGATCTGCTCGATCGGAGATGGAAAGCGAGAAGCAGATCAACGGCGTTAGCTTCTTCCAGATGCCGCTTCATTATCCCAGGTACACCGTGAAGGACTACATGGACATGCCGGAATGGAAGCTCGACAGGCTTCTGGCCGAATACGGCTTGTTTGCTGATGGTGATTTGGATTATAAGAGAGAGTTTGCCATGGGTGCTTTTCTTTGGCCTGATCATTTGCATGCTAAGCAGCAGCCTTTGCCTTATTATGGTTATTAAGCATCTTTTCATCGTATAAATCTATAGGTACAGATAGATATATCTGGGTGTTTTTGGACTCTTTCCATCTTCAATCCTGTGTGTTTTATGTCCTTTCAAGTTCCCTAAAATGTTACTGTAGCTGTGTTTTGGTTATAATTTTTTTAATATTTATTTTACAACTTTTATAATTATAATATTATTACAATAAAAGTGGATAAAACATAGCTCCAAAGGGCCAAATTTATTCTCTAAAAACAAAAACATGTTATGATCAAGGCATTTCCACTTGACCAGCAGCTTTGCTTTTGGGCAATACATATTTAGGATCAACCCTCTTCTTCATCACCACAAATGGCATATGTTTCTTCACCATGGGCGCTTCATCACCAATCTCCATGTCCTCTTCGGACATCCTTAAAGGCACAAACACTTGCACCACAGCACAGATTATGCTCGTACTCACCACGTTAACAACCACCACAAACAATATCCCAATCAACTGAACTCCTATCTGTCGGAGCCCGCCGTGTGTTCTCCCGTCCGCTAGTCCGTAAAATAGGCCGATGTAGTGGCCGGGGGCACCGTAGAACAACCCGTTGAGCTTCGGTACAGCAAAGATGCCGGAAAGTATGCCTCCCAGGCTGCCGGCGACGGCGTGAGTGTGAAGGACGGCCATGGTGCCGTCCACCTTTTGAAGCACTTCGGATCTTTTGTGAACGACCATCATGGTGAACCATGGAATTGAGCGGAAAGAAGCCCCCAATATCATTGCTGCCCATCCTTATACAACCCCTACATCATGCAATGTAATCTCCATGTTATATGTATATGTATGTGCATATATACATGTATATAATTGTGTGTAGTGGTTACCGGCATCTTATCCGGAATGAATAAGATGGTGATTCATTTTCCAGTAGGCGACGGTGAATCCAGCAACACCAGAAGACAAATGGATGACGTATCCACCCGAATAATCAATGATCCCCATCTTGGTAAGAAACCCATGTGGACTCCATATACTGAGCCGTGAAAGTATAAGAAAACGTCAGCCACAGCGGCACGAACATCATGCATGCATAAAAGTTCATCCGCCCCAACAACGCTCCGGCGATCAGAATCAGAGTGATCGCGGCGAAAATTCCCTGGAAATACACCATCATCTCGTTCGGATACTTCCCCAGAAACGGTTGTCCGATCAGGTACACACCGTCCAACACCACGTTCGGTTTCCCTCATAACGGAACCATCCTTTCCCCAAACGACAACCGGTAACCCGAAACCGCCCAACAGAAAACGACGCATGCAAAAGCGTAGAGCACCATGAAAGCAGTGTTCACCGCCCATATCTTCTTCACCGACCTCCGTAAAGAATGATTAGCCCTGGGATGCTTTGGAGGCCGACGAGTGTAGCTGCCGTGAGTTGCCAAGTATTGTCTCCTTTGTTCATCCAGTCCGGGCTGGCGTCATCGACGGCTAGATTAGGAGGGAGCGAAAACGAAGTTTCCATCTTCTTCCCCGCAAAAGTACCGACCATTTAATAGACGAAATGTTCTCTTTTTTCTGGGATTTATATAACCAGAGAATGAATCGTTTCGATGATGTCGATCAGCTGTCGATGCCATTGCTATAGTATCTTCATTGTCTTTTTCTAAAGCTTCATTACCATTAGCACTTTAGCAGCAGCTCGATATTCTATTGCATTTATCGAATTGTCCAAACTAGTGTGACGATTCAAAGTGAGCTTGGCATTGGATCGAATATAAAATTGGTGTTGTCTTCGACTGTATGATGAAGAAGCCTTGGATGATGAGATCAAAAGGTCAATGAAGTTCATTTTGTCTACATGTCGTTTCCTTTCAACGGGGAATGTACGTTTAGTTGGCAATGGCATTAGTTCTACCGTGCAAAGGGAATCAAACTCCAATAATAACTTCGGAAAATAGTGGATTACCATCATGCATTAGCGTTGGATAAAAAGTTTCAACTAATTGCACATTTGTTTAATTAGGAAATTCAATTCATAATTGATAAAGTGTCAAATAAATTTAGGTTAATGTATATTCATTTTATTATATCATCGGTTTTAGATTCTCTAAGAGCGTTGTCTTTTTTCCTACCCTCTAACTAAGATTAGGATTAGATTTATAATTTGTAAAAAAAAAATAACACATGAACTCATACATTAATTTAAAATTTGATAAATTATACTTATAACCACTTAATTACTATCACTATTCATTTTGATCATTGATTTTTAGTTTTATCAATTAGACCATTTTACTATTTAAGTGTTTTAATCAAACTTCTGGCCGTTAACATTTAATAGAAGAGATAAAATTACGGTTAACAAAATTGGTATAATTACACATCCAATCTTAAACCGCTTTTGTTCACTTTTGGTCTTTTATTTAATTACACAAAAATTATCATTTTTGTTTCAATTTTATTTATTTTCGGTCGTTGACTTTGAAAAAAAATTCTTCAATCGCTTATATTATCGATTTGTTAAATGTTGCTCACTTATGTTATCAAATACTACATTTTGGTCATTGAATAGATAACTCGTTAGTTTGTTGACATAACACGTTAATAAAAGGAGTTATTTTTAATTTGACTCATTAATTTTAGTATAATATTATTTTCTAAAATCAATAAATCTAACCTAGACCTCTTTGACTTCCTTTAAAATTTATGGGTCAAATTAGTAAATTAAATTTAAAGTCAACTTTTTTTTACTAACGTATCACTTCACCAAAATAACAAGAATTGACGAATATTGATCAAAATATAACATTCGGTAATATAAAAGATTAAATTTGCATCAACTTGAACATTCAGAAATCTCAAATCAACAAAAATTATTTTCCAAAAATCCCAAATAGTTGGCAATCTCTAACCTTAATCCACACAATGGTAACGGACAGTCCCCAGCAGAAGAAAATCATCCTCCTAACCGCCGACGAGCAGGAATTCGAACCGGAAGAAGCCGTCGCGATGGAACTCGGCATCGTCAAGACGTTCTTCGAAGACAATTTGGACACCTGTGATGAGCCCGTACCACTCCCGAACGTCGAATCCAAATACCTCTAGAAGATCATCGAATACTGCAGGTGGCATTTGGATCGTGAAGCTCGCAAACCCCGGAAACCGCCGACGAACGTAGACTTTCTGTTACCAACTGACGCCAGACAGAATAGTGATTATCCTGTAGGCTAGCTCCGACAGACGATTCACAAGAGAAAATTCGCCCAAAAACCAGAGAAAAAGTCTCTAGGGTTTAATAAAATATTATAAAATCAAAACTTTCAAAAAGCAGTCCACAAGCCGGACTGTTATAGCAAAAAAATCGTCTTTATTCGAATTTTGCCAAAAATAGCAAAATCCCGAAAATCACTCTAAATTGAAATTAGAAATAAAATAAGCAATCTCCCAAAAATCCGGCCTAAATCGGATTTAAATTAACTTCCTAATTAACAATCGAAATATTACCATAAATAGTAAAAAATAACTAAATCTAGTGATTCGGAGGGGAAAACGGCAGAATTTGAGGTTGAAAAAAAGGCCACATGGAGCATAGCTATGTGGAGAGCGTGCGCGTCGAAAAGAGCTTTCCGGATTGGAGTCTTATGCGCGATTCTGACACCTGTAGCCAAAGTTATGGCCAAAAGACTGAAACATACTCAAAACGACCCCAATGAGGAACATGTCACAATCAATTCCCGCCTTTGCGCTGATCTGCCAACTCATGGTATCTCAGCGCCATCAACGTGCAATCTGACAGCTCAGCATCATCTGTCTCGGATCCCCCTGCATCAGTCACCCCGGGTTGGAAAGAACTCGTCCTCGAGTTCAGAGTAGTGTCATAAGGATCCACAAAACAATGACTCAGGTGCTTCACATTAAAGACATCAGAAGTCTTCAAGTGACTGGGAAGTCGCAACCTGTAAGCATTATCATTGATCTTCTGCACGACCTCACAAGGTCCAATCTTCTGATCCTTAAGCTTATTATACTCACCAACAGGAAAACGATCACGAGTTAATACAGCCCAAACAAAATCACCAACATCAAAAAGTACCTGACGACGATGATTGTCGACCCGAGTCTTGTACTTGGTATTGCTCTCATGAATGGTCTGTTTCACCTGCTCATGGATACCCCGAAGATACTTTGCCATCTCATCTGCTTTAGGACTGAAACGTCCTATACGTGGAATAGGGGCTAAGTCCAACACCCCGGATGGGTTCTGACCATAGACAATCTCAAATGGGCTTAAACCTGTGGTTCTGTTTTTTGATCTGTTGTAGGCAAATTCTGCCTGAGGCAATGCCAATCCCACTGCTTCGGCTTCGTTCCTGCCAAACACCTTAAAAGGTTCCCAAACTTCGGTTCACCACCTCAGTCTGGCCATCCGTCTGGGGGTGGTAGGCGCTACTGAAATTCAACTGCGTTCCCAGTTTCCCCCACAGGCTCTTCCAGAAATGACTGATGAACTTAGTATCACGATCTGAAGTGATGGATCGAGGAACACCATGTAAACGCACAATCTCCTTGAAATAGAGATGGGCAATCCGGTCAGCATCCATAGTCTTTCTGCAAGCTACAAAATGAGCCATCTTGGAAACCTGTCAACCACAACAAAGATAGAATCAGAGGCCCTTTGGGTGCGGGGTAAGCCTAGTACAAAATCCTTGCTGACATCGAACCAAGGAGCTTCAGGAACAGGTAAGGGAGTGTACAATCCCGCATTGGTGAGAACTCCCTTAGACCGCTGGCACACATAACAACGGTCCACATAATGGGCCACATCACTAGTCAACTTGGGCCAATAAAATTCAGAAGAGATAAGGGTCATGTCTTATCTCGGCCAAGTGTCCCTCATTATGGAGTTCACTTATAATTTGCTGCCTCAATGAACAATCTGGAATGCACAATTGTAATCCACGAAACAGATACCCATTATGCAAAACAAAATCATGACGGTGACCCTCAGTTACCTCCTGAAATATCCTTCCAAAGGAAG